CATGGGATAAAGAAGGGCTGCTTATGCATAGGGAGACAGCTCAGGGGGCAGGAATGCATGGAGGGATGGACACAGGGAAGAGGTAACTATTGGGAGGAAGTGGGAGGGGAGATGTTGCATTGTGGTTAATTGTGGTCAATGTCATGAGACAAAGTGTATGTGAACTGCCATATGGAAAGTGTATTTGCTCTGTAAATTTTCACCCAAATCACAATGAAAAGAAAAAAAAAAATAATAAAAATAAAAATGTATTTGGTAAAATCTCAAGTTAGTTTAAAATATATACATGCATTATATGCACGAGAGAATGAAAGTGCAGAAGAAAAAATGTAAAAAGCTAGCAATGATTTCTGTGATGAGAACATGCTGATTTAAATTTTCTTCTTTAAACTTTTATTTCCCAAATGTTCAACAAATCATAGATTTATTTATTTGGTGTCTATTTCACTACAAATAAGTAATTGAAGATGCTTAAAAGTGAGCCTGCTTTTATCTGTAACTGAAGCGTGAGGCTGTCAGATAACCATCCCAAAGGGTTCTTGGGTACTGCCTGCCAAAGTGGAAACTTAGGATACTCCACAGTAAATGAACTATAACAATGTTTACATGATTCCATAATCCCTTCCTTTTTTTTAACACAACAGCCAGAGATCTTCTCTACAGATGATCAACTTCTCATTCTTGGAGTCTCTTAATCATTTTGAATATATTCAAACCAAACTCACATAATGACTTAAGTAATTTCTACCTATGGTTAATTAATATATTAACCAGAATTTAGTCTAAATTTTTAAGAGTATACAAAAAACTGAGCCACAGCAAAGTAACTAAAAGGTAAGCCTTTCCCCCACCTCCAGTTAGCTCTCTTATTTTCCCTTACTTACTGTGCTCTAGCCACACTGGCCTCCCTGTTATTCTCTGAAGGTATCATGAACACTTCCATTTTAAGTTCTTTCCTCAAATGTTGTTCTCCTACATACTGCATGGCTATTCCCTCACTTCCATTCATGCCTCAGCTCAAATGTCACTTTCTCCATAAGGCTTAATTGGACTTACCTATAAATAGGGAAACCTTATAAATATTGAAACCTTTCATCCACCCTGGCACACTTCACTCTAATTTTCTTTCTCCACACTATTTATCACCTTTTAACAACCTATACAATAAAACAACAAAAGTATATTTTTAAATGTCTTTTTCCTACTGCTGCAAAATATGAGGAAGATTTTGGTGGTGGTTGTAGGTGGGTAGGTGAGTAGGTGGGAGCATCCACTGTCAGTCAATTATATGTCTAGAATACCTGAAAAAGAGCCTGACTGCAGTATAACTGATTGGGCTGCAGCCTGCCTTCTTAATTGCCCTGTTAATTCTAGATACCTTGCAGGGATTGGTCAGTCTGCTATGCAAACAGGTAAGTAAAACCACCTAATAGGCTTAAGTAACCTGGTGGTAACTGGTCAATTACTATACAAATTAAGTGACTGTGGACTACCAAAAGCATTGGTCAGATTGTGGTCCTAACAGGAGGACCATACCTTGAAATTGACAAGTGGTTTCCCTACCTAAGGGTCAATCCCAGAGGTTGAGGGGGACCTAACTACCACCAAGACAAGCCTGGAGTGGAGCAAGTCCTTTGGGTACAAGGTCTCTGTGCTGAGAACCTCCTAGGCACAGGAAAGACAGAGCTGTTAACACTGAAGATAGTGAGAGATGATGGTCAGCAAGCAGTAGTAGCAGTGGGAACCAAGAGACTCAGAGTGAGGGACCTGCAGAGGGCCTGCCAAACCACAGAGCACAAGTGAGCCTTTAGACAGAAGGCTTGCTAGTGGAGTAGGGTGCCTCTGGGCATTTGCTGGCAGATCTTAAGTGCTGTAACCCTTGTCCAAGCAGAGCAGAGGCTGACAGAAGGCCCAGCAGCAGGCATAGCCAAGAGAAGGGCTGCCTGGCTGCTGGCATGGCCAAAAGTTGAAAGTAGTCTTGGTTGGAAACAGTCCTGATTGACCAACTGTATCCTGTTATTATGTTGTTGTTGTTGTTATATGCCGTCGAGTCAGCCCCGACTCATAGAGACCCTTCCAAGGCAGTATCACTACGGAAGTAGGATTGCCCAACCTTCCTTCCGAGGAGTGGCTGGTGGGTTTGAACCGCCAGCCTTCTGGTGTTCTATTATAGAATAGAATTATATTCTATTACCTCCAAGTTGATCCTGGTCCTTAGTTGTAACCTGATAATTTCCTAATAAATCACATAATTGTTAGTATAGCCTAATGACTCATGGCCACTACAACAATTGTCAAACCCAGAAGAGAATTAGAGTGCCCCTGAGAGGATGGCTGATAACAGAAAAGGTGAAAAAGCTGGAAAAAGGAGGTATGTCTGATCTCCACCTCACTGGTATTAGCTTAGTGCCTATCTTCTCATGCCTCCTTATGGATATAGACAAGCTCTGATACTACTAGGCTACAGTGACACACAGCAGGTACTCAATAAATACCTGTTGGATATATGAAAATACTAATGAAATGTCAAAGGACAGAGTTTGGTGATATAATCTCTAAGAACTGTATCTACTACTTAAAATCACACAATTTTCTGTACATGTATAATCAAGCACAATATATAACATTAAAATCCTTAAAACAAAATTTACCCATCTTTACATTCTTATGTATTTGTTTGTCTCTACTAAAGACTTACAAATGACTTATTAAAAAGTATCCCACTTTTGTTAACATTATGCAGTAGACTTTATTATCTGGGAGACAAATTAATTTGTTTTTTAAATATTTATTTATTAGTATTATGGAAAATATTTTGAAATGCTATACAAAAGATCTAATACGTCTTTGTATTATTAAATAAAATCAGCTTTCAAAATTACATTTGTGTTCTAGTATTATATGTGTTTTTGTTGTTAGGTGCCAGTTCTGACTCTTAGTAAGTCCATGTATAACAGAATGAAATGATGCCTGGTCCTGTGATGTTATCACAATAACAGGTATGTCTGGGCCCATTACCACAACACTGTATGAATAGGAGCTCTGGTAGCATAGTGCCTAAGGCACTTGACCGCTAACCAGAAGGCTGGCAGTTCAAACCCACCAGCCACTCCTCGGAAGGAAGGTTGGACAATCCTACTTCCATAGTGATACTGCCTCGGAAACCCAAGGAGGGGTCGCTATGAGTTGGGACCGACTTGACGGCATATAACAACAACAACAATATATCAATATAATTTGTTGAGGGTCTTCTTCTTTTTCATTGACTGTATTTTGATGATACCATTCTCCAAGGATAGGGTTGATATGAGTTGGAATTGACTCGACAGCAACTGGTTTGGGTTTTTTGTTTGGTTTTCTCCAGGGATTGGTCTCTACAGATAATGTGTCCAAAGTAAGGAAGATGAAGTCTTGCTATCTTCGCTTTTAGGGAGCATTCTGGCTGCACTTCTTCTAAGACAGATGTGTTTGTTCTTCTGGCAGTCCCTGGGATATTAAATTTTCTTAAACATCAAAATTCAGGTGTATCAATTCTTCTTTGGTCTTCCTTTTTCATTATCTACCATCACATATGGGAGCTCTGGTGACATAGTACCTAAGGTACTTGACTGCTAACCAGAAGGTTGGCGGTTCAAACCCACCAGCCACTCCTCGGAAGGAAGACTAGGCGATCTACTTTCTACTTCTGTAGTGATACCACCTCGGAAACCCAAGGAAGAGTCACGTAACAACAACAGCAACATATATTGTAACAGTTCAATACCATAAGCCTAAACACTGATATAAAGTTTAACACTTGTTGTAAGCTGCTGCCCAGTTGACTCATCTGCAATTGGTGTTTGTTCAGAACTGCAAATGCTCATTGCCGTAATAAGACATTACTTTGGGAATAGGGAAGCCTAGTTAAACATCAAAGACCTGAACTATTTTTTGAATTGACATCCACCGTTGAAGACTGCTTAATATCTGAAATGAGACCCAACTAGAATTTTCTCACCCTGTTGTTCTGGTTACCTAGTGCTGCTCTGACAAGAATATACCACGAATGGGATGGCCTTAACAAACAGGAGTTTATTCTCTTACAGTTTGGGAGGCTAGAAGTCAGAGTTTAAAGTGCCAGGCTTTAGGGGCTGTGTGAAGCCCCTTGACCTTGGGCTTCAGGTCTGCCTCTTGCTCCCAGCCCACTTAAGCTAGAGGCATCCCTTTACTCAGGCAGCTACTGGCTGCTGAGGCTAACAAGCCCAAGGTCGACAAATAAAATAGCACAGTCCTGATGTTACCAAACCACATGGCAGGCCATTCATTCAAGTCCACTGAAAGTCCCAAGGTCGGCAGAGCATGACAGGCTGCTGAGCAATGACATGGTGACATGCAGGGTGCCATAAGCTGGAGACTATTCCCAAAGCAGTTTCTTATATACGGGAAGCAGACCACATACCCAATGGCAGCTTTTCAGCTGCCCTCAGTAGATTCCATCACGGAGTTGATTTCCAGTCTCATGGTGAATACTACATTCAACTGCCCAGCCACTCAACCAGGCCTAGCCAAGGTGACACACAAATTTAACCACTACATCTGTGATTTTATAAGTAGCTAGACCATGCCTAATTACACATTTTTAATGTAGCTCTCTATTAATCTATACTCCTTTGTCCTTAGGGTTTGAAGCTTTATCTGCAACAGGATCTCTGTAATTCCCAAATAAAATAAGTCTCAGAATACAAAGGAAAAGTCTCCCCAAAGATGTTTTTTAAATGATACCTCTGAATGATGTTCTACACTTCCAGTATCTGATCCAGAGTGCTGCTCATTTATATCATCCTCAACATCTGACCCTGAATCCCGTTCATCTTGCACTGGGGTAGCACCACCATCATCTGCTTAAAAATAAAACAAAACCCCACTTAGATTGACATCTATTTAAAATAAACACAATGAATCAAAAATATAAGAGCAAATACTAACACTGGTAAGATGCAATTAGTGACGCTAATATTCTTAATAACACTGTGATCCTCATACAAATATCAACAATCATGACATGTATTGTGACATATATGGCAGCAAAAATAGATCCTGTAAGAAATGCAAAGCTTAAGAAACATGACTACAGACAAAGTCACCAATCTCTATATAATAGTAGTATATCTACAAGCTATTTCAATTTTGGGCTAAAACTGAGTATCTCGCTCTACATCTAATATGTGATTTAACCACCTTCTAATATGTGATGTATCAGGTTATTTTAATTTGGGTTTTTCCCCACTTGTATGAAAATTCCATTGAGAGCAGGTATTTTGGTTCACTGCTGAATCCCCAGAGCCCCAGAACACTGTCTGTCTGACACTTAATGTTCAGAAATCATTTATGAATGAAGAGAACAAGGAACTCTAGTCCAGAAATAGAGTAAACCTGTTACTGGAACATTACAAAATGATTGGTGAATATGAATTGCTATCTAAATTAAGGCGCTCTGGTAGGATAGTGCCTAAGGCACTTGGCTGCTAACCAGAAGGCTGGCGGTTCAAACCCACCAGCAACTCCTCCGAAGGAAGGTTGGGCAATCTACTTCCATAGTGATATTGCCTCGGAAACCCAAGGAGGGGTCGCTATCAGTCGGGTCTGACTCGATGGCACATAACAACAAGAAGCAACACCTAAAATGAAATTAGCAGTAAGCCAGCCCTGGGACCAGAGAAAGGAGGGTGTTTGTGCACATGGAGCTGCCCTGGGAACAGGAAGCCAGCCAGCCCTGGGACCAGCAGAAGGCAGGTGCTTGCCTAGGGGGCAGGCCAGGTAAGTGAGCAGGGCAGGGGAGACGGGGAAATGAGGAGAGCAGCTTAGACAGCTAAGGGAAACAAACTTGTCTGTCAGTTTTCTGCACTGTGGAGGTGGCTTGAGTGTTACTGTGAGGCTGGAGGCTATGCCACCAGTGTTTCAAATACCAGCAGGGTTACCCATGGTGGACACGTTTCAGTGGAGCTTCCAGATTAAGACAGACTCAGAAAAAGGAAGAGGCCATTCACTTCTCGAAGAATTGGCCAGTGAAAAACCTTACGAATAGCAGTGAAACACTGTCTGATATATTAGTACTGGAAAACTTTATGAATAGCCTTGAAACATAGTATGATATAGTACCAGAAGATGAGCCCCTCAGGTCAGAAGGCACTCAAAATGCAATTAGAGAAGAGCAGTCCCCTCAGAAGAGCCAATTTTAATGATGTGGATAGAGTAAAGTTTTCAGGATCCCCATTTACTGATGTGGCACAACTCAAGATGAGAAGAAACAGCTGCAAACATCCTTTAATAATCAGAACACAGAATGTACAAAATATGAATCTAGGAAAACTGGACCTCACAACTCAATGCTCTTGAGTCACATCCAACTCACAGCAACCCATACTTGGGTTTCTGAGGCAGTATCACTATGGAAGCATATGGCCCAATCTTCCTTCCGAGGAGAGGCTGGTGGGTTTGAACAGCCAGCCTTCTGGTTAGCAATCAAATGCTTTAGGCACTACACCAGCAAAACTGGAAATTGTCAAAAATGAAATGTAACACGTAAAGATCAATATCCTACACATTAGTGAGCTGAAATGGACTTGTTTTGCCCATTTTGAACCAGACGATATGATCTACTATGCCAGGAATGACAAACTGAAGAAGAATGGCATGGCATTCATCATCACAAAGAATATATCAAGATCTAACCAGCCACTCCTCGGAAGGAAGGTTGGGCAATCCTACTTCCGTAGTGATACTGCCTCGGAAACCCAAGGAGGGGTCGCTATGAGTCGGGGC